GGGGGGGGGGGACCCGGCTTCGGACTTCCGGGCGGTAGACGTGATATATGTGAGGCGTGCCATGTTAGGAGATGTACCTAGGCATGTACGTGGTGTTCACTGGAACCTGTTACTGACTGGTTTTTTCCAAGGGCAGGAAGCTGTGTCTATACCCGTGTTATCTGAATGCACGTAGCTTTCTATGCCCGGTTTACTCACATACTATGACAGATTAGTATGCAGATACCTAGCTAGGCAGGATCCCATAATGGCTTGTGTGGTGGCAATGGGCAGATAACGACCCTGACATTCGTGCTTGCATAGGACATGGAGATGCTGAGGCCAGGTGTCCTGGAGTTCAATGGTCAGGTTGTCCGCGATGGTGAGAACAACTGGGAATCTTTGTCTTCGGTCTTGGTTTGTAGCAACTTGACCCTGCAGCCTGGTTTTCACCGGTACTCGAGGTTCGTGGGTGGAATGAAAGGGAGTAGTGTGCAGCCACTCGTGGTGCCAATGCCAGGGTTCGGTGGAAGAGTTGGAGGGTGGTTGATTAGAAAGAGGAATACCTAAGACACCATTGCATTTTCCAGGAGGGTCGTGGACTTCTGGTGATGGCTGGGGTATCGGTACCTTTTCCTTCTCTGTTGCCTTTGGAAGGTGCCATGGGAAGGGCGTATGGATTCCGAACGATGCAGTCTGCAATATTTAACTGGTGGTCACGGTGAGCAACCGTTAGTTAACCTAGGTAAGTAATCAACCAACCCACTCCCTTCATTCTACCCACGAACCGTGAGCAACGCTGGAGAACCAGCTACACCTTCACTGTGGGTGTGGGACTTGGTTGAGTTGGAGGAGGCAAAACCAACTTTCCTTGTTCCTGCTGGCGACTGGCGTACATTTTATACCTGCATGATCCGCCTCGTATTGCTGAAGCCTCAGAGATACCCCAACAAACTTGGACATTTCACGTGGGAGACACCTGGCTTCCGAGTGTGGAGGGAGGTAATCAAGTTATTTCTTGTTCAGCCACCCCTCCAAAACCTATACGCACCCTCTGCTACCAGCAAAGGCCCAGAATTACGAAGCTACAAACATGATTCCGTGACAAATGTATATAAAATCAATCATCGTAGCCCATACAGTCTCAATTTCTAGTAATCTGGTCATTCCAACATTCGCTGTTGGCCATGACAACGACCCCGAGTGACTTGTAAGGAAGAGAATTGATGTTAACGTGATTGGGAGCTAGATATTCTAACAAGTCCCTAAGCGTTGGTGAAAGCTATTATTCAATGTCTTCAATCAAGACGGCACGTGTTTCCTCTATTTGATATTAGCAGTGTCGGCTACTTACGTGACACTTCCAATCATTCATGTCCCCATTATATAAGAACATCCTAAGAATACCTTCCACGTTGTATGCTAATGCATTTATCGATGCATTGAGCTTGATAACTCTGTCCATCGAGTAACCATAACCAAGTAACTACCTGGGGGCGACCGAATGCAAGCGTCAGATCCTCCAAGGAATCGACGACAGCCCCCAAATACCTAACAACACACATAGGCCTCATTTCTCCTGTGCCCAAGATGCCCGCACACATACTTGATTGACCATTTATTGCCCTGTTCCTGCCCCGACATGACCATTTATTTCCTTGTAATGAAGCAATAATCCACACCCGGCCCGTTCTGTGCCCCACATTTTCCGACCGCTGCCGACTCTCTACCGCCCCCGATTCGGTCCGATCCAATTAACCATAGATGCGTGACGGATATGCCTAGTTCATCAACTCCTGCATATAAACAAGTTTGTAATTTCTCAGATCGAAGACCGAGTTAAAGCGGATGACCTGGGAGAAGCGATAACGTCAGTCAGGAATGGATCAGGGCGCGGCCAAAGAACCGAAATAGACAAGCAAGAACGACCAAGTACTTAAAGCACACTTGGCCCTCACTGCCTGGCTCAAGCATGGTGACCAACATCGACAGTGGGACATAGCGCACAGCGCACAGCAATCAGCACGGACAGGGCCGACGGGGGCAGTAAACATTGGGGTAACAAATATAACTTACTGGACGCTCTCCCCTCTCTGCCATCTTCTCCAGCTCCAAGCTTGTTTCGCCAGCGGCCCTGCCCGCCAATGCAGCAGTATCGCCATTGCTTTGCCGCCCGGCCATTCCACCATTGCTTTCACTTCCATTGTCATTGCCAGTCCCATTCACCTCCTTCGAGAATTGCCAAACCTCCTTCAAAAGCTCAGCAACCCTGTTCAAATTACTCGCAATTCGCTCCTTCACCAGCTCTTTCAGTTGTTCTTCCCTTTGTCTTTCCACATTGGCGTCTGTCTGAGAAGTCGAGGATCCATCCTGCTGCCGCAAATGTGCCACCCACCTCCTCTGCAAAGCCTTCACCTCTTCCAAAGCCGCCGAGTAAAGCAGGTACATCCAAACATACGCCCCTGTATCCACGCTCGCAAGCTGGATTCTGCCAAAAATCCAGCCGACAGCTGAACAAGCCAGGTCTAGGAATTCTTGTCTTGTTGCTTCTGCTGATGTGCTTTGTTCTTCCCAGTTGTTGTTCTTGTTGCTTGGTGAGGCTGTTGAGGTTGAGCCATGTCGGAGTCCTCGTTGTTCCCACTCTTCCTCCATCTGCCGCCTCAATTCCACCAGCAGAGTCAAAACGGCCACCGTGGCGGTTGCATGATACGAGGTTCCGCTTCCGCGGCTTACCAGGGTCGTGAAGTCGTCCATTTGATGACGTTGCGCCGCTCCTTTCCCACAGCTTCCTCCTGTTTCTCTTTGGTTGCCTAGACCCGAAACAACACCCCTCCAGATTGTGCCGGCTGCTGCGCCGCAATATGTCCGAATTTCTGGCATTTCCACCTCCAAGCGTTTTACCAAGGCCAAGTTTAACCCCAGAAAAAACCGGTCCACTAACATCTCCGCCATCCGAAGCTGGAACGCGGAGATCCTATTCGGCAGGATGCCGGCAGGGTCGTAGCCCGGTTGAAGCGTGCCCGCTAGTGCACGCGATGCACTTATCAGTTCGGTGCTGAGAGACTTCGTCGTCGGTCCGGATTCGACTGCCGGGGGCTTTGTGTTGGGGGAGTTGAGAAGCGTGGCGAGATGTTGAGCGATAGCTAACCGCACAGGAAACGAACGGTGCAATTCGACAAGGATGGTCGTTTGCGTGAATGTCCCGGAGGGACGGGGACCCGAGCTCGAGGGGGCAAGCTGCTCGTCGTCGTAATTTGCCGGCGGGCTAGTATCGAATTCGGTGAGCGAGATACCCGGTGGAAGGCCGATGTCCAAGCTCGATTGGACAAGCATTTCCAAAATGGTGGCCCATAATCGTCGACACAGTTCGGCTTGGTAAATGGGCATGGACGCGTCAGGATCCCGGTTTAGGCCTAGACACATGGCTTTTCGCAGCAGAGAACCGGCCGAGTTGTAGGTTCCTTCACCCCCACTTCCACCAAATCCGCAGACCTCTTTGGCGAGATGCAAAAGACACATACTCTGCAACCCGGCAAGGTTCGTCGGCGGACAAAGGAGAAGCCACGACTGGCCTTCCTGAATCCATCTCTCCTGATACCTCCGCAGTGAACCGCCGGCATCCTCAAAGACCGACCCGATAGCCATGCAAAGCTGAAGCTGGACAAGGAAGGCCTTGGCGAGCTGGCCGTCAAGCTGACCACCAAAATACTCTCCAAACCGCGTCCAGAAGGTAGGCACGTGCAGAATGCGGTAGACGCTCTCGAAAGTGCGGAAGTAGGCTTCGGCTAGACGTTGGGCGTCTTGGCGGTACGACAGGGGGAGAATGCCGCCGATGTCGCTG